ACCGAGGAGACCCCCGCGCAGCGCCGAAGGGTGGAAGGAGCGCCACAGCGGCCAAGGTGGACGCTTGTAAGCTCTATCGAGGATGTCCTTAATGTGCGGGGTGGCCGAATCAATACAATTTTGCTGAACGACTTCCTTCGGCAGAACATTGGCCCCAGCAGAGCGGTGGGTGAAGACCAGAATGTGGTGATGGAGGTGTTTGTGCAGCAGCCCGCAGAATACGTTACAGAGCAGAGGCTTCTTCGAGAAATTCTCGATTCACCAGGGTATCAGCTTTTTGAAGATGCACGCATGCTTACGGAGCGCGAGGTGGCCACGCTCCGAGACTGGAAAGAATTTGGAGAGAAGAATACGGTTCCCCTTCGTACAAAAGGAAGACTCGATGCAGCTCTTCATCATGTGGAGGAAGAAAGGGCAGCACGGGAGGCAGAAAGAACACAGAGGCTATTATACGCGTCTGTGTATAGTGCACGGTGGAGCCACGTCGTGGAGGCTGTGGACAGCGAAGGGGTGGGAATGGAGGTGCGTAAGGGCCAACCGCCAACAATGCCGTGGAAGTTCAAAGCGAATGGGCTTACGTTTGTACCGGATGACGCTGCGGAGCAGCTCTCCCTGCCCCGTCCCAGGCTGCTGGTGCTCAGCTCGGACAGTGGGTGGCCGTTCTCGTGGAGGAGGAAAGAGTTTCTACCGGACTGCTACGTCACCGCCGAGGTGGAGCGGGTGTGGGAGTTTGTCAGGGCTGATCTGAACGAATTGTTCAGCACCGGCAATAAAAAGAGAATTGGGGCGATGAACCGTGTCCTGATTGGGACGCCCGGGATAGGAAAGTCGATGAATGCCGGCTCCTACCTCCTCTACCAGCTGCTGCACTACGATGCCGAGAAGCTTGACACGGTGGTGTACCTCGTTGCGGGTCGGGTGTTTATTTTTGACAAGATCACCCAAACGGTAAACAGGTTTGAGGACCAGAAAACTGCCCCGATAGGTTGGAGATCATCATCTAGCTCTTTAACGAGCGGGTACATTATCTGCGATGGGGAGAAGGAGGCCGAAATACCAAATGCCGGCACGTGGGGTATGATCGTTGTGTCATCCCCATACGAACTGAACTACAAATCGTGGAAGAAACACGCAGGTGCCATGACCATCGTTATGAATGGCCCTGACGAGGACGACGTGAGGGCAATGTGTGCTTGGAGGAAGCGCGATTGGCCCGCACAGGAGCAGGCGGAGCACTGGGGCAGGGTCAGGGATTTCATTGCCCACGTGGGGCCGATTCCCAGGCTTCTCTTCAGGGGAGACGACTACAAAGCACACTGGGAGGTGGTGGAGAGCGCTCTGGAATCCTTCATCCCCTCAACCGATTTGGGTTTGTTTAGGTGGAACCTGACATGTATATGGTATGCCGGGCATCCAGCTCAGCCTCTCGCGAAGGCGGTCCGGCGGGTGGAAGAATATGGTATTGATTCATTTTGGAACGTGCCGGTTTCCTTTGTGGTGAAGAGTAAAATATTGGCTCAGGTGGCGAAGACCATGCGATCGTTTTGCGGCTTCAAGTCTCTGATGGCAAGACGTGCTGATGAACTACCGGCATTTCTGGAGGAGTACGGCGTGTGCGCATTTATGTCTTGGGGCTTTGTGAAGAGGATACACGATAAGCTGTGTGAGCTGCGGCCCCCAACAGGAGGACGTGAGCCGCGGCCCTGCGTGCTGCACGTGAACCCGCAGCTGCTGCCCACTGACGCGGTTGGGTTGCTTCCGAGGTTGTTTTATGCTGCGAAGGTGGAGGCAGCGTACCGGGTGCTGTACGTGCCGGGGGTTGAAGACTTTTTGCTTGTGGACGCTTTCTTCTTTGTTGCGGCACCGCGGAGGACGATGGTTGGGCTGCAGACAACCACAGCAAAGGCACACCACGTCACAAGCAGCACGCTGCGCCAGTTCCACGAGTGTCTGGCGACGCATTTTGACGATTGGGAAACTTTTTCCCGGGACATGTCGTGGGAGATTGTTTACGTGCGGCATGCCGAGAGCACGTCACCGGACACGTGGCGGAGATGTGACGTCACTGAGCACCCGTATGAGGCCCAGGGCGAGGCGGAGGTGGCGGCGACCGACTTTTGGAATCGGCAGGTGCGGCAGTACCAGGTGAAGATATCCACTGAAGATGCACAGGCGGCGCGCACCGAAGGAGAAGAAGCCCCTGCTATTCCCTTACGTGTTCGGTGGTCCATGACCTTCCCTGGAAGTGAAATGAGTCTTTGAGGCAGTGACGGCAGTTGCGGCGGTGGTGTTGGATGCCCCGCTGCTTATTATTATTATTATTATTATTATTTTTCTTACGCTGCGCCCCACTCCTGCTGCAGTGCGCTGAGGGAAGTGGGGGCGGCGTTGGAGGTTTGTGGGGGCCGTGATGGGAGGTCCCGCCGGCATGCGCACTACGTGTTGCTGCTGGCGGGGTTTGAAGGGGTTGGGCGGGGGAGACGGTAAACGAGGTGCTTATGAATTTGTTTTTTGTTGTTTGATTTCTGCGGGGGCGTCCCACACTGCGGATGCTCCGTGCGGGTGCGTGTGGGTGTTTCTTATGGCGGCGGCGAGTGTGTGATCGTGCGGTCCATGCGCTCGTCGGTGTGGCGTTCGTTATGGGATGTGGCTGTTTTTTGCGGTGTGCCCAACTGTGGGCGTTGGTCAGCACGGTAGCCGGGCACTTGTGCGTTTTTTATTTTTGCTTCTTTTTGTTTTTCACAGGGCGGATACATAGACGTATATATGGGAGTCTTTACACTTCTCTCGGCTTCAGGTGATCCTGTTGTGGTTCCACAGGACCCCGCCATTATCTGCCAGTCTACGTGGTTGCAGGCAGCGCTAGGCATTGGGGAAGACGAAGGTGTTGTGCCTGTAGCCTGTACGCGAACACTGGAGTGCCTTGTGGCTTATATGAAAAATCACGCGACTTACCTTGAGGATGACGAACAAGAAATTGAGCTTCCTATTTCATGTACGTGTAACACCAGTGCTGCTGGGTTGGGGTATGATGTAAATGAAATGCTACCGCCTAGTGACGTTGCTTTTTTGGATAGCTGTGTTGGGGTGGGAAAGCCATGGCCCCTGGAGATGCAGGAGCTCCTGTTAGAGCTGTGGGTGGCCGCAGACTTTGTTGGACACAGTCGCTTAAGGAAGACATGTGCAGTATACTTTGCGTGCCGGCTCATGTCCGCCACGGAGTCCGACATTTTGGGGTGGTTTGAGGGTGGGATGGAGCGTGCTAGAAAGGTAACGAGCGCGGGTTTGCTGGATGACAACGGTGGGGGTCGACTGCCATTGCTGTCTGACCAAGACCGACTGCATATCCTCAGGGAAATGCGAAACGTCTTGGACATCGAAGAATGAACGAATGCCTTCATGTGTGTATCTCTGTGTGTGTATGTGTGTCTGTGACGGACTGCCGGCGTCTTCCTTACAAAAGTACCAAATTTGAGCAAACTTATGCGCCATTTTTTGTGTTGTTTTCCTCTCCAAGTTTTTTTTTGTTTTTGTTTCCACGTCACCTTGCTGGGGCCTTTGCCCCAGTGTGTTCTTGTGTTTCACTCTCACTTTTCCTTTCCTGCTTTGCTCTGTCACGACGTGGCTCAACAGGTGGGGAACCGTTAGAGACAATAACAATAACTGCGGCAGCGAACACACGCACACACACACACAGGCTGACCAACAAAACGGGCCGAAGTGGCTCCGTGTGAGATTCTGTGGGAAGCTTCCTTTTTGTGCGAATGCCACCGCAGCTCCAACCGAAGCCGCCTGGCAAAAAGAAGGCATTGGTGCTTAGCAGGTCGCCGGTGCCCCCTGTGTTTGGCGGAAATGCGGAGATTGAGGTTGTGGGTTCCCGCGTTGTTCGTCTCCTCCGTGACGCTCGAGCATCGGTACGGGCGCATCAGCGACCGGACACCCCGTTGACTAACCCGCCGCTACCGCCGCTGAAACGTGGCAGTCGCCTTACCACTATGGTGTTCTCCGCTTCCGAAGCCCCATCACAGTTGATGACGAGTTGCCAACAATTTAATCATGTGAAGTTTGAGTCATCCTTGGACGCGGCAAGGGGTAACCCACAGCTGCAGTTAGAAAGATTGGCTGAGCTAAAACTCTGGCTGGCGAACCCACATCATCATCTGTGGGATACAACGGTGGCGCGATTGCAGGATCTAGTGACGTCACCCAAAACGGAGGCACAAGTTGTGGTGAGTGCGGCGTCCGTGCTGCTACGACAGAGCGAGCTGCGTAACTTGTCGTGTCTCCCTCTCGTTGTTCGACGTCTACATGAATTATGTGAAGGTGGTAAAGAGAGACAGCTGTTAGAGGAGGTGCTGATACGTGAGTCTCTCCTACAACCACTACTTCATTTAGCGAAGTCTGAGGAATTATTGATCACCCATACAAGTGTATTGTGGGATGTTCTAGAAATTTTTCGAAGCTGCAGCGCCAAAAGTAACGTGATTTTGACCCAGCTAGTTTCGCTAGGCATGATTCCTGTGGCAAATGCGGTAGTGAAGCGCATCCTATCCTCTGTGCCTGATTCACCTTCCAAGGCTCTTTCTCCTTCTAGCAACTTACTCTACGTTCTTCTTCCTCCGCTATGTTTGCTGTATCGCAATTTCAGTACACAGCACTCCAAACTTTTGCGCAAGTTGGGATCCCTCGATCTTCTTGTAGATATCTTGGATCGCTTTCGTGAGGATGGAGACGTGGTGCAGGCGGCGGCTCGAGCAATGGCAAAAACGGTATTTGATGATTGCTCACTGGAGCACTACCAAAAAGGGAATCGGGCTTGCCGTGTTGTGGTTGCCGCGCTTGAAGCAAACTTAGACGTGGGTGGATTGGCGGTCAGTCGACTCTGCGGCACGTTGGCACGGCTGGTCGAAGGGAGTCGGGAGCTACGGGATTGGCTCATGAATCATCATCAACCGATGCTTGTGCGCTTGGTGCAGACGCACGTCACTCCACAGCGGGCTGCAGCCACGGCAAATGCGGAACCCCCATACGATGCAGAAGAGGCTCAACAGGAGGATTTGTTGCAAAACATCACGTGGCTTGTGGGGGTGGCTGCCATCAGCGCGGAGTGTTCAACATCCTTTGTGCTTGAGATCACCCCACTCCTTGTGGAGTTTGTAAAGGACCTTGATGCGAAAAAGTGGCATTTGGCCTTTATTTATACTCTTATGTGTCTGAGCAACTTGTCCTTTTTTTTTGACGCGCTGGAGAGGATGGAAAGCAGTAAAGAGGCGCTTGTGGAAATCTACGCGACTGTAGGCCTCATCCTTGCCGGGGTCCTTTTTGATGGTGACACGGAGGCAGCGGTCGAGGCAACGCGAATACTTGGGAACATGAGCCTTACCAATGTGGGACGGGATTGGATGGAGTCAAATCGTTGCGATGAGGTGTGCATCGTGTTTCTCGGGCACGAGGATCCCCGCATTGTGTACAACTGCTTTGGCGTTTTGCTCAACTTGACGGCAGCTGATGCCTGCCGTGTGGCCTCTGACCCTCAGCTCATGCAGATGCTGTTGCAGCACACGGGAAGATACACCCGCGAGGAGTGTATCGCGGCGGAAAAGATAAAGGAGAGTAGCCGTTGCATGACTGTATCCAGCACTGACGAGGATGGTGGGCTCAGCTACACCGATCAGATTGCTGATATTGTAGAGAAGCTTCTCCACAACCTTAGCGGCCTTTTCTAGACACTGCAAGGTGCACACACAGATGCCCATGAATAATTTGAAGTAAATACACTTTGGCCCATAGCGAAGGAGCTTCTCCGTGACAAATATATCTCCTTTCTTTTATTGTGGCCAGCTCAGCGGCTGCTGAGCTGGGGAGGCAGTTAAAACAAGAGCCTCAGTCATAATGACTAGTGGATCTCATAACAACGGCCTTTGTCTTTGCCATTTGCATTTCCTTTGACAACTTTACGTCATCTGCTTTTTTTACACTCTCCCACATGAATGCAACGAAGAAAGGAAGAAAGGAAGGGACAAAATTAGGAGGTAGAACGCGGCAATGGACAGTCAAACTGGCGGGGATGACGCCATTGATGCTCCACAGTTTGGATGGTACCAACCCCGTTATCTGCCGCGACGTGACCCGCCCAAGAGCACCTTCCCACCCCTTTCTAAGATTGTAGTGAGTGAGGGACTGGACGGAAACGTCAGCGATGAGAGAGCGTTAAAGCGGCGTGCTGAGTTGGGATTTGCATGGGAGCGGATTAGGCCAATTACAGAGGTGTGGCATGGTCCATCGATTAACGACAAAGTGCCGCCTGCGAAGGACTATGAGCGTCTTCTGTTGGATGCGCCATCGGGGAGCCTGCGGTAGTCACTACAGGGTGTCTGTGTATTTGTTTGTTTGCGGTCGTGCTCTTCCCGTCTCTCACGCCGGGTAAATGCTGTGTTCACTGCCTCCTTTTTTAAAAAAGAAACCTATATTTTTGCGTACGGCGCAATATTTCTTCCCTGTTCTGTCTTGTTATGCCATTTTTTTTTCCTTCCTTCTTATCCGCTTTTTTTTTCTTTATTGCGCCGACGGCGCTTGCGCTGGGCGGCAATCACGCACACACCTGCACAGACAGAAGAGGGGAGAGGGGCGAGGGGGACGACACACAAGCGTGTGGGGTTTGGGGCGAGAACTGGTGGCAGACAAACAAGAACAAACAAACAAACAAAAAAAAAAAGAGGACTTCGTCACCAACGTGAGGGGGAAATAGTGACAAACCAAACAAATTCAATAGAGAGAGCGCACGCAAAAAGAAGTGAGGCAATAGGAGAACACACACGTACAATCAATATAAAAGAAAAACGGCAGAAAGGGGGGTAAAAACAAAAAAGAAAAGAGAACAAGAGGAAGAATGGTAACCACGTACGAGGAGGAGTACGGCAAGCTTCAGCTTCCTTCACGACGAAGAGAGGAGGAGGGCCTTCAAGAGGGCATCTTAGTCATCCGCAATAATGATGTCGACGCGGTCAGCGATTGCGAAAAGGGTCGCACTGTACACCCCGCGCGGGCATTTGCGGGGATTTATTTACAACCCGTTGTGCGTTCGATTCTCACCGCCGAACAATTTATGCGCTGGTCAAAGCGCGACCATCGTGTGGAGGAAGCCAACTTGTGGGGTCTTGTACTGGAGCTTTTGCTGGATTCTGAGCAGAGCAGTAAATACAACCCGGACGCAATTGGTATCGCAGATGTCCAACCTCATCGGCGCTGGTTTGTGTCTCACTTGTCACATATACAGGACCTGCTGCAGCGCTGTGCGCTGTTGCGTCGCATGAACATTGTTGTACGCTGGCTGGAACAAACTTACAGAGAAGGGAATACACCGCTGAAACTGTCAGCCTCACGTTCGCACGAGGAGGCTGTTTTATTGCGTCAGCTCATTCTATCGCAGCTGCGTGGTGGTGAACTTTACAGAGCCATTGATTTGGCTGTCACGGCGGGCGACTGCATGTACAGTTGTTTGCTGAGTGGAGCCCAACTGCAGACGGTCCAGGAAGCATGGTTTCATTTAACCCCACTGGTCCCACTCTTTGGGGAGTATGGCAACGGAGAGGTGGATCAGACTTGGGCGGGCAATAATCATCGATTGGACAATCTCTCGCAACTCTATGATGACTCTGTAGCTTTGTCAAACTCTAACGAGGGGCGAACTGCTCTTGGTGGGTTAGATGCCGTTATTTCAGCGGTGTTATGTGGAAATCTAGAGGTCATGGAACCAGCGTTTCTGGCGGCAGGAAACTGGAAGGATGTCCTCTGGTGCCACCTGCGCGCTGCGTTGGTGGTCTGCTTTAACAAAACATTGATGAATGCGCATCACAACGTTTACCCGTCATATGCTGGTTTTATCGAAAAGGTTACTGGATCACATGACTCTTGGCAGGATGAAACGGCTAGTGGTGTGATCAAGCAGCTGGCGGACCGGCTGCAGAAAACCTATATGTCCTCTGCTTCTCTGGAAGAGCAGCTGCAGATGCGTGTCATTCTTCAATTCCTTTCACCAAGCGGCGTAGATTGGATGAACATCCCAGAGGACCTTTATAACAAACGTAGTGACGGGGCTCGACTGGTCTCACATTTGTTGTTATGCCTTGACACCGCGTACAACGAGACACTTCATTTCTATTCAGTTCAGGTATATTCTAACACTCTTGCCGTCACTCTCGTGCAGTACGGACAGCAACTTGCCCAGATACCGCTTTACTCCACACAGGATGCTATGCAAGCGGTTATTGCAATGAATTTGCACTTGCGTGATGTGAGGCAACGGGCAGCGGTGTATGCCGCATTTTTGGTAGCATGTCGTCGTAGAGAACTAGAATTTTCGAGTCGGCAGGAGGTAGAGGCCAATGAAGCAAAACTTGTACAGTTGTTCTGTAAGGCGGATCCTGCCAGTGCACTGCGTGACGAAGTCATGTGCTTGTTGAACCAAAAGACGGAGCCCGCGTCGTTTTTGACGCATAACCCAGTGGCGGAGGCGGTAATGTGGCGGGCGATGCACGCAAGCTCGCAGGAAGAGTTTATGGCTGCACTTCGAGAGGCACTTGAGGCGTGTGTCACCTTTTGGTTGGCCGAACCACACGCCGAGCTAGACGCCATTGCAGATGTTTCTGCCATCTTGCAGCACACCATCCTCCCTAACTTGCAAGAGAAGACTGAGACACCGAGTCATACGGAGTTGGTTGAGGCACAATTTTGGATAACGTTTGCACAGGTTCGATTAACAGCAGATGATCACGCGCGCAGCACTGCTCAACTTGACGTTGCACTTGGTGGCAGGGAGCGGACGCTTGTCTTTCAATTGGCTCAGGATGAGGCTGCGCTGATGCGAGAGTTACATGGGTTAACGCGACGCGCGCTTTCACAGGGAGGGGCCTTGGTGCGTCGATCTCGCTCCTGCGTTACTGCCATTACGTGGATTGTACAGGTGTTTGCGGAGGAGGTGGCGCTCTCTGTGCGCCTCACCACCCCAGGCAGTAGTGTAATTATGGAGCATCTGAGCAACGTTTTTGCCCTCGTGGAGGAGATGGATGGGCTGGGCTACATTGACCCCAACCTCATGCCGCGGCAGAGCGCAAAGGAGTTGTTTGATGCCGTGCGGGTGGTGCGCGTGGCTTGCGGTCAGAAGTCACACGACCTTCTTGTAAACGAGGCAAAAAAAGTGGCCGCGGCGAGGCAGGTGCCTCTTAGTGATTGGAGGGGTTCATTGGAGAGGGCAGAAGAAGGCGCGTGAGTGGCGGCGCACCATCTGCGTTTAAGCTGCGTCCCTGCCACTATACGGAACGCACACACCTGCCCAGGCACGCGAAGGGGGAGGGGGAAGGAAAAGTGAGCTGGAAAAGCAAGAGAGAGAGGAACAGGAGGAGCTGACACGAGGATGACATCGGCGTCTTTTTTTTTTGTTTTGTGTTGTTTCTGTTCCTATAAGCAATTTATTTTAAAAGCGAACCAATGGAAAAAGAAAAAGAAAAAAAAAGAAAGGAACTGAAAAAAGGGGAAAAAGAGGAGGTGATACCGATATACATTCCTTTTTTCATTCTTGTTTGTTGTCTTGGACTTGTGAAACGGATGACAGAATAATAATTAGGTAATCCCGTTTCCTCCATGCCATTCCGTTGCTCCTCTTTCTCCCTCTTTTTAAAATTCTTCTTCCTGTTGAAGGGGGGAGGATTGCGCTGGGGAAGGGGTGGGAGAAGTGGGGTTGCTCGCGGGATCAGGATCGCCAGTCCGTGACTCTAGTTGTTATCGTAGTTGCGGCGAGTGTATGCGGTGATTTGACGGACAACGGTACGATGGAAGGTAATAGGGTGCCCCACCGCTACAACTTCTTCGCTGCTGAGTCCTCTGAGCCTATTGATGCAAGCGCCCCCTTGGGGAAGCTTCCAGAACGACTGGCGCCTGTTGCTTTGCGCGAGACAATATACGTGCAGTTGGAGACTCTCCAGGCGATTGACAGGACTGAGCGACTCATGAACACGGCGACAAACCTCGGTGAGGAGAGCAAACAACAGCTCAGTCAGGACAAGGTGATTATTGAAACTATTGACAACATATTGGAGAGTAACGAGTCAGTTCTACAACGAGTGATACGCGATGTGCACTGGTTTCGAGTGCAGTTGCAGAAGGACAAACTATTCGTCTGCCTATCTGTCATTGTGGTTATATTGTCTGTAGCTGCTATTGTCGTAGCTGTTGTATACAAGCAGCGAGGCTAGCAGTGCATTTTAGGCTGTGGATCAGGCTAGATGCCATATGAAAATATTATCGTTTTTTTTTCTGTCTTTTTTTCTTTTGGCCTTACTTCTTCCTTTCTCACTCTTTCTTGACCTTTTGTTTTGGTTTTGGTTGCCGTCCGTGAACCATTTTTTGCCTGCATGAAGTTGGTGTCGCGTTAGGGACATTTGTGCACGTGTCGGGCTAAACTTCTCATGGAAGACGAGGACTTTGCAGAGGTGTTTGACTTCCTCCGCAGCGATCGCGAGGATGTGCGGAAGATGGCGGTGAAGGGCATTGCCCAGCAGAGCAAGGACAACCCCGCGCTCTTTGCATTTCTCTCCTCACCCACGCATGGACCCCGCTCTTTTGACGCAATTTTGCAGTTTCTTCACGCCGGCAGTGTTCAAATACTGGGCGACATCCTGACGATTCTTATTAACTGCTCGGTGGAGAGCCGCTGTGCCGAGGTGCTTGTCTCTTGCAAAGTTGTGCGCAAAGCAATGCGGCTGATTGACGGCATTGAAATCTCTGACCATGCCGATTCGCTAAAGAGGAGCCTAGAGGAGATGACGCTTATGCTGCTCAGCAACTTGACGGCCAGCCACATCTCCGCGGTGGATGATCTGCTGCAAGTCGATGACGAAGACCTTCACGGATTTTATCTTGGCAAGCTGCATGTATATTACAATCGTTTTATCAACAATGAGGAGAAAAGGAGTGGAGATGATGATGCTGTTGATAGCTTTAGCGGCGGCAGAGAATTGGGGGAAGCAGCGACGGACAGGCCGCCCATGCGGGATCTGCAGAAGTGGATTTTGCAGATTTTACTCAACCTGACTCGCTCCAACGACGGCCAGGAACTCCTTGTAGACGATGAGGACTGGGACAAGACCCTAACGGAGTGCCTCAGCTCATCTAATACGCGGCATCGTCTTTTGGCGGCACAATGCTACCGCAATTGCAGCTTTCAGAAAGAACGCCACACGACAATCTTGAAGGGGGAAGCTTTGCGGGTCTGCGTGGAGCGACTATGCGACGGTGGGGAACGGGTGCCAGACGTGGAGATGATGTTGGCGGAGATTGTGGCGGAGATGCTGCGGTCGGAGGCGGGAATGGAGTTTCTTGAGGAAGTAAATGCGAAGAAGCACCTGCGGGCGGCGGTGACGGGAAAGAAAGTGGACAATGCAACCGCGGAATTCATTGAGCGACACGTGTTGCCGTTTCTGGACGATATCGTCGACGCCTATGTGGTGCCTGGAAACGCCGCCGCCGCCGATTAAGAACCTAAATAACTGCATAACCGGGAGTGCATGGGTTGACTTGACGCATGTGTATCTGCTTTAGCGGGGCTTCTGCTCACTCCACTGGGCGGGGCAGTGACGGATGTGTGAGTTTTCCAACGGAGTGGAAACCAACCGAAGTTGGAAAAAAAAACGCAAAACAAAAGAAGCTCGTTAAGTTGTTCTGCCTGAGTTGTTTTTTTTTTTTTCTCCCTTTCCACTTCCTCTCGTATGCAGATAGTGAGTAGCTAGGCTGCGCAGTTAACAAAAAAGAAAGAAGAAAAGAAGGGTATAGTGGCTTGTTTGTGGTACTTAAAGGCATACACACACACGTTTATACGCATACGTATTGAGGTTGAGCAGAGGAATAAGTTCAACAAAGATACAAAAAGATGTTTCGCCGCGTCATTGCTGCTGCAAGTGTGCGCCCGAGAGTGATGGGCGCTCGCACGTATTTCTACCCTTCTCCTGGCGAGGTTGGGGTCGGTGGTGAGACGATGAAGGCTCTGCTTAAAGCGACCCTTGGTGTTGTCGTATTCCAGGTCCTGATGATCAAGCTCGTTGTGTTCAACCAATGTAGCACAAAATACCAGTTCGTTGAGGATTGCACGGACCTGTGGGAGGATGACGGCACTGTCATGGAGGGCGAGGAGGCGGTCGCGAACCTCCGCATCCAGCGCGAACGTATCATGCCGTTCATGAACGACATCAAGGAGAAGCTGGAGGCCGCCGGCGTTGAAGCGGAGGAGTAGTAGAAGCGAACATTAGAAAAATATTATCCATTGTCCGTATAGTTTTCCCACTTTTTGTTGTTGTTGTTGTTGTTTTTTTTTTTACGCTCGGTACTGATAGGGATGCCAGTTGTGTATATACTTGTGTGTGTGTGAGTTATATATATGTTAGGAGGAAAAAATAAGGATGGTTGGAGCATACACACAGAAACAGAAAACAAAAATAAATGATTATGACATATAGGGAATGTATGCTTCTTCCATTATATAGTACACACAGATGCACGGCAGTATATATAAGGGCGTATGTGTTTCTAGTCATGAATGGGGGGTATGGGAATGAGAGAAGAGAACGAGGGAGTTATCTCCACACAAAAATGCACAATTAAAAAAAAATGCTTTTTTTGTGCCGTTTTGCATTTTGTTAGTTTCGCCGTAGGACCTACATACACACACACGCACACACTCTTTCCTTGAGTTTGTCGCCTGTGTGTATGTGTGTGTGTGTGTGTGTGTAGATCTGTCTGTCCGTCTGCACATTTTTGCCACAACGAGAGGAACTGCGGACGCGGGTTTCTTACGACAATAGGAAGAGTTCAGTAGGAATTATTATTACTGCGCCTCTTTGTTTTTTGTTTTTTTGTTTTGGGCTTCTTCCGCCTTTTCTTCGTTGTTCCCGGAGAGAAGGTGGGGTGAAGTGGTGGGCTTTGCGCTGCGCATCAACGACGCAGTGGCCCTCAACTTGCTTTGTTGTTCTTCTTCGTTTGTTTTTGCTCCCTTGCTGGGGACTCACTTTGTCAATGCAAAGTAGGGGATAAAGGTGCCAGTACAGGAGCGGGTAGAAGAGTGGCGGCGGCTGAGGGAACGGGGGAAAGCAGAATTGTGAGAGACAATGAGCTTCATCTTCTCAGAACTGCGACGCTCGGAACGGCTGCTCCCTGTGGAGGATAACGCGTCGTTCCAGCGCATCTCCTCATGGCGACCACTTTTCGTGGACCCAAAGGAGCATCCAGCCCTGTACGAACATGTGTCGTTTTTTCGGAGTGACGCAGAGCAAAACTCGCGATGGTTGCATACCGTACGCTCTGCCCGTGTTTCCACACGACAGGTTCCTTTCATTTCTCTGGCGGGGCCTGCTTCTTCTGTCAAGACGGCAAAGGCAACAACACAATCTCCACCTGTCAGCAATGGAGACGAGGACTCTGATGACAAACTACCATTGCACGTGTACCAAAACCGCGTGGATGCATTGTCACCATACGAATGCCTTATGTGCCCAAAGCTTCTTTTTAGCCCGTTTCGACCCTCGTTTGCAACACGAATGATGCACATTGCGTTAAACTTATCTCTTCCTGCCCAAGAGGTTTTCTTGTTTGTCTCCATGATGCTTGTGTATTTGGACGTGCTCATGGCAGTTACTGTGCCTCAAGCGTTGGGCTTTCAGGAGCTTACTGATGTGCTGGAACAAAAATGTGTGCAACTTTTTGAATCATCTGCAACGAACGGTGATGCTCCACAACGAAATGCCTTTAGGACAGTATTAAATGCGGTGATAGAATTGTGGAAAGAGCGACGCGAGGCGACTGTATCGGCGTTGTTTCCCTTGGGTACGCTCACAGCCTCAGTGTGTCTGCGTGACCTTGATCATAGGGCGTACCGTGCCTTCGTACCTTCGGCGCCGCGTGACGCAAATCGGGAGGATCATCCGTTTAAACTCCCACCATTAGCCGCCGATGCACTTGTTTCTCACTTTGTTCCTACCTGGGAGCGCCTTCTGCAAGCCATGTCTCACGATGTGTCGGTTTTGGCTACACTACATGAACATCTTCTTCGCCAAGGAGTCGGCATGACGCATGCGCCTCAGCTTGTGATTGGCAACATTTTTGCGTCAATGAGTGCTCTGCCACAAAGCAAAGAGGAACTAGCGGATTTTGTATGTCGCCTTGGTTCCTCTCTTTGGGCTTCCCCGGATATGGCGAAGAGCATTGTGTTGTCCAAACCTCAGTTGCAGTTTGTCACGAAGGTAATTCAACATGAGTTCTTCGCGACATCGTTGCGTCTGCGTCAGCGGGGTCTGCAGGAGCTGCGTGTGCGACGTGTCACCCTTGTGAATCTCGCGCTGACGGTCATTCAGGACGATGGGCGGGAGGCAGAAGTAGGACGTCCTGCGGGATTTCTTGTGGGGCGCACCGCGATGGGTGACAAACCGAAGAGCGACAACACTTCCAAGGATGGGACTAGTGATTCCAAGAGTAATATGCCGCTGTGGCTGGTGGCAGAAGGCGGCGCTGATGTTGTGCGGACGTTTTTGCAACATCTTCTGCGGGGCCCGCGCCCGACGACGTCTGTTGCAGCTTTGCCGTCTTGCCCCAATGATGATGGGCATGGTGGTATTGTAACGGACGTTTCAAACGGTGATGCGAAGGGAACACCAAAGGTGGAAGAGCAACAATTTGTGTTGCTGACTCGTGTGGAGGAAGGAGTTTTGTTCCGCATTTTTCAAAGCCATCCGGATGCGCTGCAGCTTGCGGGGTGTGGTATTAAACAGCTACTCGTGCGCAAGACGGATGGCCAGCCGTTTCTGCAGCGAGTTTGTGGTGCGGTTCTAGCGTGGGACACCTGGGAATGCTATGATTCACAACAAGCATTGAAGTTGCGGCGGCCCACGCGGATCATCACTGCTGAGACTCCTTTTCCTCTACCAGAGGGCATTACGCCGTCCCGGCTTACGCTGAAGGCGGTGCGGGGAATGGTGCAACACTATTGGAAGGCCCTTCTTGTTGCGCAAACGCGGGGGGAGGGCTCGCGGCGTCCGGCGGTGGCGAGTACGACACTGTTTCCGATTGACAAGGTGGCCGCATTCTACGTCTTGCGGCATCATCCGCAGTACTACACACGTATGCGAGGCTGCGGCGTTGCGGATGTCTGTGTGCAGCGGCAGCTTCGATCTGCTGGCAGCGGTAGACATACCCATGCTGCGGAGTTTGAGGTGATGAAGGAGGAGGGTCAAACCGTGACGGATGACACTGGTGAATATGTTCCTACGCTTGCTGTGTCGCATCCTTGCGGTGCCTTCACTGTCTTTGCGTACGAGGATTGCTACAGCCCTGTTACCAACCGACTGAACCTACCACAACTGCTTGAAAACGACGCTGGTGCCGCAAGTGATGCAATGCTTTGCCCAACGCCGTTGTCCAGGAAAAGAACTCTCTCCATGACGCGGGAGTGATGCATTGGGTTTCATGTGTGTCGGCAGCTGTGATGTCTCTGTGTTGCAATGAGGGATTGAATGGGACAGTGATAGGCCTGCGCACACACGCGTACACGCACGCCTTGTGGAAATGACCTTTTGGGAAGTAGTCTTTTAGATAATTTTTATCAAAAGCAGGCTCGGAGTAAGCTAACAAAAATAAATAAATAGAAATGAGTTCGACTACCACTATTAATACATTGATCTGGTTGTGTTCTGCGATCAAATGACGGAGCGCGTGCGTACTATTTGTTGGCAGCAACTCGGGTTTATGCTGCTCCCGGACAGACATCAAAACACATTGCTCTAAGGCGAAAGTGTTTTTTCTTTTAATGGAAATGTAAAAGGGGGCACCGTGGGGTTGGAGTGGAGGATATTTGCACCCGTTTTATGCTTGTCGTTTCTGCGGCCAACTACATACATTGAAGTATATGATGGCGTCACCGGGTTAAAAACAAAAGGGATGAAATACAAAAGATAGTGTTGAAAAGGGGTGGTCGTGTGTGCTTGCGTGGGTATGATCATTGAGGGTGGAAAGAGAATGGCACAGTCGTCTGTTTTGCGATTGTCTATGAGATTGCTGCGGTGTTGAGGTTGATTAAGTTGATGAAAGTGTGCTTCTGTAAAGCGAGGTCCCCACAGCTGCGTGTTGGCGAGGTAACTTGTTTAAAGTGATGGAGTAGAGTGACGGATTCCAGTGGTGTGGACGAAGGTGGCGCACGTGCCATGAGACTCTGGTCTCCTGGTGCGTGGAACATGAGGAGTAGGTCCTTCATGATTCATCCAACATGGCCACCACTGCGATGCAAATTTTTGTCATACTTTTTTTTTTTTTGACTATGTGAGGGGTTCAGATGCCTCGCAACTTAAGGATTGGGGTGGTTGTTGGTTGGCTGGCGTCGTTGTGGATGGGCCCATTTTTGTTTGTTGGGACATATGTCCCAGTGCTGGATGCGCAGCGAAAAGATCACAACAATGCAGTTTTGATGCATTTTCACTGCCGCGCGGCGGGGAAATGCATTTGACTCTCTGCACATGGTTCCCTTTGGGGATCTTCTTGGTTAGACCGATCCCGTACTGGTGCGGGGTGTCGTGTTTTTGTGCGGGTTAGGCGTATTCTGCCTATTTGTTTATTGGATGAGCGTCTTCGTCTCCTGCTTGCCGGTTTTTTTTTGTTTTTGCTTTGTTTTTTTGCGTCATTTTGTTTTCACGTCGTTTGTGTGTTGTTGCTGCTGCTGCATTGTCACTTTGTCATTTTTCTTCTTGTCTCGCCATGCTCTCGGTGTCGTTGTTCGTTAGTGATGAGGGCCTGCGTGTTTTGGAACTACGCCAAGCCACGAATTAGTTCGCTAGAATCAGCAACAGGGAGGACAAAAAGAATTAGAATACAACCGCCCGGAGCGCGGAGAGAATCGCTTCAAAGCAAATAATAATAATAATAATTTAGCGAGGTAGAGGAGGGGCGACATTGTGTGGGATGCGGAGGCAGTTTCTGCTATGCTCACGCTTCGTCGTTGAGATACCCAACAGTCATTGGCTCCCTCATCGACTCCTCCTCGTGCGGCATGGAGAGTCAGAGGCAAACGTAGACCGCACTCTGTACAGTAAAATGCCTGACTGGAAGATCCCACTAACCGAGCGAGGTCAAGCGCAGGCGTTAGACTGCGGTCGTCGCCTTCGTAATATCATCAAGAATGAAAAGCTTTATATTTATTACTCGCCGTACGTTCGCACCCAGCAGACTTTGGCAGAGATACGGAAGAGTTTAGAGGAGTCCCAGGTCCAGGGGGAGCGCGAGGACGAGCGACTACGCGAGCAGGAGATTGGCAATTTTCAGCCATTAGAAGAAATGGATCGAATGTGGAACGAGCGCAATGAGTTTGGTCGTTTTTACTACCGTTTCCCCGGCGGTGAGAGTAGTGTGGATGTCGGTGATCGCGTGTCCACTTTCTTTGATTCCCTGTTTCGCGAGCGGCTGGAGCTTTACTCGCTTTCCGCGATGGACCCTGATGGGCCGCTCGCGCTGCCGGGGGAGGATGACCAAAATGTTCTGATCATCTCGCACGGTCTCCTCATTCGCTTGTTTATTGCCCGCTGGTTTTACGTACCTGTGGAAGCCTTTGAGACAATGCGTAATCCTCCCAACTGTTCCATTGTAGTGCTGGAGCGCCGCGACTCGGCTCGGCTGGTTATGAGCGACATTAGCAAGAAGCTTTTTGGGAGCGACCCGTTGCTGGAAATGATGAAGTTTGACAGCAAGGACACCATCAAGCAGTACTGTAATATGTTTTTTATGGATCACTCGGACTCATTTACCCCCGAAGAGGGGCTGTAAATCTGATGTCCAGAGCGTCAGAAACGCCTTGTTTCGTGTTGTTTTTTTTCCTTACTTTTTATCATCATTCATGTAATTGTCACTTGCTTTTTTTTTCTTCGCACTTCTGCCTCACCACAAAGCCCCTTTACTACGTATGATAGCTTCCACACGGAGGGGGAGTCTGTCGGCTGCGAAGCCCCAAATACTATTAATTCCTGAGTTTGGAAGAAATACGCCGTTATGGTGGAAATTCTTTTGGATGCATTTATTGTTATTGTGTGTGTGTGTATCGAATGAATTCCTTCTTGACTGGGAGATGCTGGGCGTGTACCGAAGCAAACTCTCATCACCTATTGCATCATTTTCTCTTTATAATAATGGGAAGGGAAAGGCGTCCTCTAGACGCGGTACGTTGTTTCTTTTCCTCTACCCCTTCAGATCTTTGCAGTGTACGGCTGTCTTGGTGATTTGAGGTGCAGGAAACCGCTTCTCTCTTTCCCCGTCTTTCTTGTTAGTTGACCTTTTTTTTTTGATGAAATTGTCTGTTGTTGTTGTTGTTTGTTTTTTTTTTTGTTTTTTAACTTGCTCGAGAGTCTGTGTTTATCCTGCCTTACGGCTGCCTTCAGCCGCTGGAGTTTCGTCTTTTTCTTTGCATGTGTGTAGCATCTTTTTTTTTTTTTCATTGTCTGTGTGTGTGCGTGGGTGGCTGTGGGAGTTGCATCCCAGCTGTTGGTAGCTGTAGAGCAGGCAATTCCAAGTGAATCTCTGAGTAGCTGCATATCTGGCTGTTCCTCGTTCGAGGCGTTTAGGGTTGGAGGTGTTGAGTGGTCCCTGGTAGATAACACTACGCCAAGGCAATAATGCTTCGACGAACGTTATTGCGATTTTTGACACGAAGTCGTATGCCAAATGTGGGCGCTGCAAGTACGGCGCAGGAGTACACGCGTGCGGCAGCAGTGACGACGGCGTCATCAAAACCTGCGTCACCTGAAGAGGCGGAGACAGCCACGGAAACGGTGACGCAGACGGAGAAAGCACGCAAAATGCCCATTTCGATTCGTAGTGACAGTTCTCGTCGTTCGACAAGGATTCCACCCATCTTCGCAGAACCGGTGAAACGCATCATATTCGTGCGTAGTGGCAAGAGTCTTGCAGATGTAGATGTTGGGGCCCATATCACTACGCCAGATTGGCGCATTTCCATTGTACCAGAGGGGGAGGAGGAGTGTTATAAGGCCGGGAGGCACGTGGCGGAGATGGTTGGAGACGAGCCCATCTACTTTTATTTTTCGCCCTATTTGCGTAGTCGGCAGAGCTTTAAACACATGCTGCGTGGCTACGACGAATACAGAGGTGAACATAAGATGGATGGCAATTCCATCATTGGCGTGCGTGAGGACGTACGGTTGCGGGATGTAGACATTGGTCGTTATCGATCCAAAGATGAACTTCTTAAACACCTTCGTGAACGAGAGGTGTACGGTAGATTTTACTACCGTTTCCCGCATGGTGAGAGTGGCGCCGATGTGTGCGATCGCGTGACAAGCTTTCTTGATGCCTTTCGGCGTGAACGACTGGACTTTGCGATGGACACAAACGTTGTCATTCTGACGCATGGGCAAACAATACGCATGTTTGTAAAGCGTTGGTTCCACTTAACAGTAGACACATTTCACTTGATGAAATCCCCGCCGACCGGATCTGTTAGCACGCTGACACGTTTGCATCACCGCAGCTGCTTCCGTCTTGACAACCGATGCGTCGAGTTAATGAACCTCCCCCTTTCACTCAATGAGTACAACGGGTACAAGTACCGCAACAAACAGCTGCTAGGCTCTATGAGTACCGGTGCACCGCTTATGTAAAGAGCGCACTGTTCAACATTTTCGTTTCTTTTTTTGTTTTATTTTCAAGAAATACGTGTATTTTTCTGAAGATTTGCCATCGAGCATATTTTTTTTTCTATTGCGTTTTTATTCTTCCTACTTTTGTCTCCACAATCGTTACGCGTTTTTTTTCTTTTTGCTGAGGGTGTGCTAACAGGCGAGGTTGGTGATGTGACGGGCAGCTCGCTTCGCCCGCATTTCTTATAGCGTTTGTGCTGCTACTTCGGACAGCGTCTGACGGGTAGCGTGGCACACGAGGGAGTGGAAACCCGTCTTCACCTCTTCCTCCGCGTCACCAGTGAAAAGCAAAGAAAATTGAACAAAAATAGTGAGAGGAATAAGACCCAAATACATGTACGCGCCAGCGTAATTGATTCAAACGTGTGAGCATGTGTCTCTTCCAAGTTGTGTGTACCGTTTATTCTACACTGCGGCACTTTTGCCGTTTCAATGCCCTGTTGTCTTTCTATTTTTTAGCTGCTCCATGAGAGAAGTGGTCCAGCCGAGAGCAACCCCAATGAACTGCATGTTTTCTCTTTCAATTTGCTTTTGCGGCGGCTACGCAAAGGGTGAGTTTTGAAGTGGGGTGTGGCGAGCATTTAGTTAGTTATTTTTCAGGGATGACCTCCACCACGCGCCCCTCATAGTCGGATGTGGGGTGGACGACCGGTGTGACGGCCTGGCGGTGTTTTTTGTTTGGGCTTATCCCAGTACAGTTGCCCCTTCTTGAACTGCCGGGTGGATGGCAGCGTAGCCGCAGTAGGCGGGGGAGCCTGCCACCCCTGAGGGCCTCTGTGGAGACCGTGGCGACTCTGCGTGTGGGGTGGGCGTCCTTGGAAGGGCGTGAGCTGGCGCCGTTTTTGGCACTATTATCTTTGCCTCGAATTGGCCTGCCGACGGCTCTCGCGGCTGGGGCGGGCCTGCGACGCTGGCGGGTTGGGGTGGCTTTGCCGTTTGGCGCCG